GATAGCCTTGATTGGCACGACATGGCTGTATTTGTACCCCGTTTTTCACGGCTGCGCATTCCCAAAGCCCCCATCTACGCAGGCGCAAGCCAATGCACCCTTCCGTCTACTCTCCCTCGGTGATCCCCAACTCGAGGGTGACTCTTCACTCCCCGATCCGAATGCGCTCGTCTTCCCGTCGATCGGGAAGCTCGTACCGAATTTGCGCGATGCAGCCAACTCCACCCACAGACGAGACATCGTAGAAGAAGCAGCAAGAGGTGTCGTCAAAGATGCTGGCAGATGGCTGGAGGGGAAAAGGAAGGCTGTAGACTTGTGGGGGAACGACTGGTATCTGTCGCACATCGTGAGAAGCCTACGATGGTGGACTGAACCCACACACATCAGTGTGCTTGGTGACTTGTTGGGCAGTCAGTGGGTCACAGATGGCGAATTCAGGAAGCGAGCAGGGCGCTATTGGAACGTTGTCATGAGGGGATTGGAGAAGGTGCCGGATGCCATCTTTGGTGCTCTTGAGACTGAGAAGAAAGAACAGCCGCCAACAGAACCTACATCAGAACAAGAAGTTTCAGGAGAAGAGATGATAGACAAGGAGCAGAAACCAGAGAGGAAGGCACTGTGGGGTGGCACAACGGAAGTGCTGGGTGCTGATCAAGACTGGGAGAAGCGCGTCATTAACATAGTTGGAAACCACGACGTTGGTTACGCTGGCGACATCGACGAGTCGCGTATCGAGCGATTCGAAAAGGCCTTTGGAAGTTCCAACTGGGATATCTGGTTCACGCTCCCGGACACACTGCGCTTGAACAAGACCACCGAACCCGCTATACAAGACCTACCCAGGCCTCCGACACTCCGCCTCATCATTCTGAACTCGATGAATCTCGATACACCCGCCTGGTCCTCCGACCTTCAGACCGAGACATACTCCTATATGAACCACATCATAACCAGCTCTCTTCCAGTCGATGACAAGACACACGCTACCATACTCCTCACCCACATTCCGCTCGAGAAGGAGGAAGGTGTTTGTGTTGACAGCCCATACTTCGACTTCTTTGAAGAAGGTCAAGGGGTGAAGGAGCAAAATATGCTATCAGACCATGCTAGTAAGATTGTTCTCGAGGGATTGTTTGGCATGAGTGCGAATAAAGATGCAGAGGGCAAGGGGCAGGGTAGGAGGGGTATAATACTCAACGGGCATGATCACGCTGGCTGTGACGTCGTACATTACATTCGTCAGCCCGGCGTGGACGATGCGTGTCAAGTGGCCCATGTGAAGAGAGAGGAGGCATACTGGCCAGCGAGCACTACGAATGCGACCATGATTGCTACTTCGATGGATATCGATGGCGTCGACATCAACGTGGTAGCCACTAACGATACCATTGCCGAATCCGATGTAGCCTCGGACGAGACAGCATCTGAATCGGCACCAGAGCCTACTTCAGAGCCTGAACCTGCACCTCCCGCACCACCGAAATGGAAGGCTCGTCGCTTCCCAACTCGTCCATACGACATCACCCCAGCCAACGAATGCACTTCCATCAACGATGTCCCTCACATTCGCGAGATTACCCTCCGCAGCATGATGGGAGAGTACTCAGGCTACGCAGGTTTCCTATCAGCTTGGTTCGATGAAAGTAAGGGCGAGAAGGGTGAGTGGGTCTTCGAGTTTAGCACGTGTGGAGTCGGGGTTCAGCATTGGTGGTGGGGTGTGCACATCGTTGACCTGATCTTGCTGCTCTGTCTAGTAGTTGGGACTGTGGCGACTGTTTATGAGCGCGTAGCCGCGGACACAAGACATCCAGCGATTATTAAGAGCACGAAGCAAGAGTTGGGCTCGACTAAGAACTCAATGGGGGCGAAGACTATTGTGCATACGACGCGTGAGAGGACGTCTTCGGTGACGGAAGTTACGAAACGAAGGATATAGATGGGTATGTAGTGCATATAACTATACAGCAGGGCTTCCAAGAGCGGCGTTCTTTGTACCAACGTACCTGAGCTGAGTAGGCTAGTGTGCATACCTAGGTAGACCCTTCGGAGACATGGGTTTACCCCGCAATGCAACTCCACGCGCCAGCGTGCACATCTCCACGACCGGGCACCAACGTAAAGAGCGCTATACCGCGACCATTCCCGCCTCATTCATCCGCGTCTCGCGCTACCCCAGCTTTCTGCGCCCTTTGGCCTTGCTTCTTCCTCGACAGCCAAGAAGATGGACTAGGCCCGAACCTTAAATGCTGCGTGATCGACAAGTTCGGACTCATTCCGCTTCCCTGGCAAATGGAGACCTACGTGGATGAGGAAGATGTATGTGCGTGTAAGCAGACTGAAGCGAGTCTTCCGCATTCTTCATGACTTTCCCTGTTATTGGTTCAGCGTCACTGGAATGACATGTCAAAGTAGCCTGACTAGAGCAAAGTAGCCACTCAGCTCCAGCATATTTAGTCTTGTAGAACCGTACCCGGTAGCGCTACCGTGCACCGCGGTCTCATTCCGTGGCACATAGCTCCAGACTAATCAGACCACGTTATATGGACTCTGACCTCGTACTGCGCATCGGGAGGGAAGTCTCCTCTATCATCTATTCACAAACCGGCCATGTCTCTTGAACGCGTCGACTCGGTGGATCCTACAGAAGTGTACGACTACATCATTTGCGGGTAAGTTGACTTCCTATCATCTCCACTACAGCATTCCTCAAATACTCTTACTAACAGATACCCATCAGTGGCGGCACATCCGGTTGTGTAATAGCAGGCCGTCTCGCCGAAGATCTTAACGCCAAAATCCTCGTCCTAGAAGCCGGACCCGACAATGCAGACCTCGAGAATGTACACATGGCGGGAGGGTAAGTCAGCCATATTAACGTATACTGCTATTGGGTTATGCTAAGTAAATCGCCATAGATGGAGCCAAAATTTCGATAAAGAAACAGACTGGAACATCGTTACCGAGCCCATGCCTAAGGTAGACAACCGCCAGGTCAAGGTCAGCAGAGGACGCTTCCTTGGTGGATCGAGTGGCGTGAACGGCACGCTATGTATACGGGGCACAAAGCAGGACTACGACGACTGGGAGCTGGATGAGTGGACTGGCGATAAGATGTTTGAATACATGAAGAAGGTTAGTTCTGAAAGTGCGAAGATGTGGGATTATGCAAGCTGACTCTGATACAGTCCGAGACATTCCACGAGAAGGACTGGCACAAAGCGGATATGTCTGTTCATGGCTCGTCAGGGCCTCTGCACATCGAGCCCCACGACCTGGCACCCATATCTGAACGCGTTAGGGAAAGTCTTATCGACCAGGGTCTCCCTTACCACGCGGATATGTTCTCGACCGGAGAGACCCCGCATGGCTGTGGCGATGTACCGCGAACAGTGCATCAAGGCCTACGGAGTACCGCCGCCGACTTCATCACCAAAGGCTATCGACGCGAGAATATCACGATCAAGACTGAAGTCACCGTTGACAAGCTTCTCTTCAGTCAGGATGCCGGAGACCTTGCAGCAACGGGTGTCGCTACGATATCGAAGAATGGCAAGAAGATCGATTACCACGCGAGGAAAGAAGTCATTGTGGCAGCGGGCGCATACTGCAGCCCACCGATCCTGATGCGCTCTGGTCTTGGTCCGAAGGAACAACTAGAAAAGCATGGTATCGAGTGTCGCGTTGATCTGCCAGGTGTAGGTGGCAATCTGATGGACCACATTCTCTGCTTCATCTTCTACGAGGTCTCCGAACCCAACCTCACGAACGATCACCTCGCATACCACGACGACGCTATGACCTCGACCTACGCGTTATACAAAGAGAAGAAAACAGGCATCTTATCTACCTTCCCCTTCGGCATATTCGGTTACGCGCGCCTAGACGAACGCCTCCAAGACTCACCCTTATGGACAGACGCCCATCGCGAACCCGGCCGCGATCCTATGGGCCTCACACCCTCGCAACCCAACATCGAATTCTGGAACACGGAACTTTACGGCGGACCCAAACAATACGCCGACTTCCCTATTGATCACAAACAAGCCTTTGCCATGTGTGCACTGCTCTTCAACCAGCATAGCAGGGGTAGCGTAACGCTGAAGTCGGCTGATCCATTCGAAAACCCCATTGTCGATCATGCGTATCTGGAAGATCCATTGGATATGCTGGTTATGACTGAGGCATGTCGATTTGCGAACGAAATTGTTACGAAGGGGAAGGGGACAAGAAGTCTGATCAAGGGCAGTTGGCCTGATGCCCTAGCGCATCATGGGTTTGAGACGAGGGAGGAGTGGGAGCCGCATGTTAGAGAACATGCCACGACTTGTAAGTCTATACGCGACTTTAGCGGTCGTATTCATGGAGAAACGCTAACGATGAGACATAGGCTACCACGCATCCGGCACCTGCGCGATGGGTAAAGCGGATAACCCGAACGCTGTTCTCGACTCGCGACTTCGAGTGCGCGGTGTCAGGAATCTCCGCGTGGCGGACGTGTCTTCCATTCCAAAGGTTAACAATGGACATACACAGATGGTGGCGTATGGTATTGGGGAGGGAGCTGCGGAGATGATCAAGGAAGATGCTGCTGGAAATCACTTTTTGAAGCTTACTGCTGATGTTAAGAGCATGGCAGTGTAGTGAGCTTCACGTACACGAGGAGGCCTGGGGAGAGAAAGGATTTGTGATAACGAGGCCTCGACGATATCTACTTATCTAATGTGTCCATTTATCCCCAAGTCGACTTGCTCATCAAGTAATGCAGTTTCGTGTTCGCGATGTTTCCGTCTCAATCGTGTAGAGCTGACCCCTAGTAACCACCTCCAAAACCACCACGGCCACGAGTTCCACCTCGTCCACGACTAGATTCACCCCGAGGACCCGGTGCAAAAGCAGGCGGTGCAATAGGCCCCTGAAACCCTGGCGGCGGTGCCATACCGCGAGTATCGCGCCTCTTCTTGTCAGTCTCATCTCGCTCCAGCAAAAGTCCATCCCATATCTTACCAGTTGGGGTACTTCATCAGCGAACGACCAGATGCCCAAGTCATTCCTCGCTGCTTTTCTTGCTGGGCGACCACCTCATAGGCGTCTTGTAACCCTCGGGCTGCTTGGAGAGGCGGGAGAACAAGACCGCCCCACTTCTTGTAATGGCGGACTAAGAGGAGGTCGACCAAGGCTGCATTGCTGATGATGGACTCGACGCCGGGATGGCAGTCGTCAGGATGGGTTATGCCCCAGACAATTTGGTCCATGGCGTTGACGTTATTCTCGATCAGATCCTGATGGTTGTTAGTAATTAGTAGGTAGACACTTGGGTGAAGGTGAAGGTGAAGAAGAAGTGAAGTGGTATTGACAATGATGAAACTGAGCATGAAAGGAACTTACGATGGCGTTGCTGACGCCCAACACAGTAACGACATCCCGGCCGTGAACGTGGTTTGGAGTTTTGCGCTTGTATGTGCGCCAATGTGTAACCATGCTGGCGTCAGCGTAGGCCTCGAAATCGTTGACCTGATAACCGGTTGGACGTTCACTCTCTAAACGGTACACGAGCTCGTTGGTTGAGGAGGTGTTGTTGGACATCTTGTCGTATTTTGTCGATTGTAAAACAATAGAAGCGGTGTTCGAAAAGGTGATGCTGAAAATGGATATGCTTCCGTTGTTGTAGAAGGAAAAGAAGAAGCAAGCGTATGAGGAGGGTAGATTATATAGAAAAAAGAACCCCCACCGTTTGCCGCTAGAACAGTCAATCCGCCGTCACATTGAGAAGACGGAAGGTGAGAGCGTCGGTCACGCTAGATGTTGAGAGGCAAACGCCCTTGCAAGCGACGGTCACCTCGGCTAGAGATGTCAGGAGGAACGCAAAATGAGAGATGCTAACACGCGGAAAGAGAGGTCTGGAGAAGGACTTACTCATGGTGTCGTCGTGTAAGTGTAGCAGGCATATCATATGTCATCTGAGAGTATGTGTTGTCGTAACTTGACCGAGTGAGTAACTCTCCTGATATGTAGCAATCAAGGCAGTCCAAGCGCGCATGATCCGCCTTCCTGGCATCTTCGGAAGGGATGCCAGGTGTCCATTGTGCTAGGTGCCAGGTTTCGTAGTCTCTCTTTCGCCGCCGCCAAAAGCTCGATCAAATCAGCATGAAGATCTTATACAGCCCGCAGTTAGGTCTGAGCAGTAAGGCAACATTTCATTGCTCAGGTCCGTGCTCCTGGTCACTAGTCACATCGCGGAGACCCCATGATCCACCCAGTGCGTTCTCTCCTCAAAACCGCAAACACCCGCGATATTTATCTTCCACACGCACTACAGATCAACCCAAGCCCCCCAACTTTCGAATATTTTCAATATGGTGCGACGAGCAGCAAAGCCAAAGCCCGAAATGAGCTACTCCAATTACATCGCTTCCGAAACAAGACTCGCTAGGCTTGAAGCTGACGACATGCCAAATCATGCGGCCATGAGTTATTCGGAACTTCGCGAGGAGATGAAGTCGCGCGGGATGTTCCAAGGTGGAAAAAAGCAACGGATGATCAACGTGCTTGAGCGTCAGTTTCGAGAGATGCGCATGGAACACACGAGAAGGCCGGTTCGTCAGGCTAAGCGTCGTCTTCGTGAGCACCCAGAGATGATGCTTGCCAGCGAATTCAGAAGGGATCCTTCCAGAATCTCTTTCACGGACTTGCCTGGTGAGATCCGAAACATGATCTATGATCTCGCCCTCTTCGAACCTCCTTCGGGCGATTTCGCACAAGCTGGAAACTGGGAGATGACTGCCAGCAGTGGTCGCTTATATCTCTCTCGCTACCGGACATATCATCTGGAATTAGATCTTGGAGAACTCCGCTATGACCGCACCATCTCAGCGTTGCATGTTGTCGGAGCCTTGGACAAGCAGATCCGGAAAGAGGTTCAGACCTTCTTCTGGGCCCAAATCCCTATCACGATTGTCCTAGAGAATTATGACCCACAGGGCTACTGCTCCGTCGTCCGCCGGTTTCTTGAAAGAATTGGCCCTCTAGGTAGAAGCGCCCTCGCCGGCTTCACTGCGCAAGCAAGGTATACAGATTATGCGCAAGCGCAGCACCACGACTATCAGACCATGCTCGCGTTGCTTCGAGAGTGCAAAAACTTGCGGACACTGGATATGTGGCTACCTATGCACATGGTAATGGGTTCCCCCGATCGGAAGGCGATGGAACAATTCTTCCTGCATGGTCAGCCTTTGGTCAGTCCTAGCGTCGAGGCTCTTGTAGGCGTATTGCATTCGATTCCGCAGCTTGGCTTTGTGCGACTACACACAGAGCATACGTACAATTTAAGGCGCTACCATCATCATGATGATTTTAACGTCTTCGCACTGACAGGGGTGCGTGAAGGGCGCCTGGTCCAGGAAGTCTGTAGGCGCCTTCAGGTGCGCAAAGACGTCGAGTTCAACATCGTGGGTAGCATGAATCAGGTGGAGAGTTATGAGGAATGGCTATCGCGCAGGGCGGAAGCGATACTCTGGTAATGTGGAAGAGCTCAGGCTCACTCGGTTTCTTCCTCGTGTAGAGCGTTGTGTAGTTAAGATGACTGTAGCCATGTTTGGCTTCTTCGCGGTGGCAGGTAGCGAGCGTACTATCACCGAGCACGTAGAATGCTCGAGTTAGTTCGAAATATGAAGTATTGGGAGGTGATAACAAGTAATGATAAAATCGATAGTGGCTAAAGATACGATACTCAGTGCGTGTGCAGATGCTTAGCTGAGGAACGCCGTTGGGGGAGTTCTGAGGAAGCTTGTTAGAAACACGCGACGCGGCTGGGGAAGACGCGTCTCGCTTAATCAGCACGCTACTCGCAACTCGCGTGAACAGCATTGCTCTTTCCCTCTGCCGCGTGTCAACACTTTGGAAATATCGTTACATGCTACGCGATCCGCGCACCCGACAGATGACATCTACCGTTACGATTCGACTGCGGTGCGCAGCGGAACAGACAGCACATCGAGGAACGAACAGAGGAATGGGTATCAACGAATACATTAAGCTATCATGACTTTAGGACCATCTCGTTAAGTCGTCATCTATCTAAGCGGCTCGACAGCGCAATCCCTCTATTCATATCTCAAACCGTGTCCGAACTTGAAGACAGGGTTCTCAGTATCGAACGGCACATCCTCCTTGCTCGCCTCAACCGCCTCGTCGCTCCTCGGGAGATCGAAGGGCAGCTTACCCTCCGGACCGCTACCGTCAACGCCGAAGATAACATCGAGGAAGGCTTGAGGGCTAGTACCGTAGTTGACCATGAGGGCTTGGGCTTGCTCGGCAATCTCGGGGACAGCAGCAGGGCGGTCAAGGAAGATGTCAACAATAGTGGGAACGGCAGAGTAGATGGCTGCTTGACGCGCCTTCTCAGTGCTGTTGTACTCGAGAGAGCCGGAGTGGTAGTTCTTCTCGAAACCACCTGGGCGGGGCTCGTAGGGGGCGGCCATACGGAGGAAGGCGTAGTCGGCTTCTTCGGGGGTCGCGACGACAGTCAGGTCGCGGGCCTCGAGGAAGGTGCTGTTGATACCTTCAACGTAGAACTTGGCCTTGGAACATTCGGAAGCCTTCAGTGGGAGGGTGGTATCCTTGTTGGTGAGTAATGTGATGGACTTCTTCTGGGCCTCGAATCCGGCGTCGACCCATTCTTTCTTAGCAACGTTAGCCGCGGCGGCCTCGGGATCCACGAAAGGGTTGTCGAAGAGACCGAGGATGAACTTCTCGCGCAGAAGACGGCGAACCGACATGTCGATGCGCTCCTCACTCACGATGCCCTTCTCCACCAACTCGAGAATGAGATCGGTGCGCTCCTCGCCACCCATCTGGTCGGTGCCAGCGTTGATAATCTTCTCGGCACGCTCGAGTTCAGTCAGGTTCTCCGCACCCCAAGCACGAGCTGGCATGTCTTGTCCGTTGATGACACCGTCGGTGATGAGACCCCAGTCGCTGACGACGATTCCGTCGAAACCAAGCTCGCCTCGGAGAAGGTCGGTGACAATGCCCTTGTTCATGCCAGCGGCGACCTCCTCGTACTTGGTGCCCATAGGCCTGGAGTAGTAAGGCATCATCTGCCTTGCGCCAGCTGCGATAGCAGCCTTGAACGGGATGAGATGATGCTCGAAGTTGTTTCCTGGGTATGTGGCATTCTTGCCGTAGGTGAAATGGCTGTCCTCACCGTCTTCGACCGGCCCACTTCCAGGGAAATGCTTTGAGACGGTGGTCACGGAATCCTTTCCGAACTCACCAGGGCCATGGAAGCCCTTGATGTATGCGACCACAAGCTCAGCGGTCAATGTGGCGTTCTCGCCCATTGTCGTGGTGATCCTGGCCCATCTCGGTTCGGTGGCTACGTCAATCTGAGGGTGCAGTGCAGACCTGATACCGACAGCCTTGTACTCTTGTCGTGCAATGTCCGCAAAGGTATGGATGAGCTCAGCGTCACGTAACGCTGCCAGTCCCAAGCTTCCGGGCCACTGCGAGAACTTGACTGCAGCGATCTGACTGCCGGTGGCATCAACAAAAGTGTGCCTTGGATCTGAAGAGAGCGTGACTGGTATGCCGAGCCTGGTGTCTAGGGCCATCTCTTGAAGAAGGTTGTGCCACCGTGCAGATTGGCGTACATCGGTGATGGCACCGTTGAGGTTGAAGTGTGTCATGTGCTTGCCTTTGATTGAAAGCGCAGTTGTGTTCGATAGGGTTCCGTTAGGTCCAGGGAAGTTGATCTGCTGGAAGAGCTGTCCGGCCTTTTCTTCCATGTTCATGCGCTGGATGAGATCCTCCACACGCTCATCCACTGATAGGGAAGCATCGCGGTATGGTGCCGAGTCCATCTCTGTTGACCGCGATGTCATTCGTGGGTATGTGCCACCACTTGAAGCCGGAACGCGAATGGCGGTTGACATGGCTGTTGCAGCAAAGAACAGCGTTGTGAAGGTGTTCAGCTTGCGCTGACTGCGGTTGCGAGCGACCATCTTGCCGGTAGTATGAGTTGAGGCACAAGGTAAAGGATGAGGTCGGATGCTACTGACCACTCAGTCGGCAGCCTTGACCCCAGATATTTGTACTCTGGCTTCAATGTACCCCGTCACGATGCGTTGCCGACATGTGCGCTACGTCCGAGGGACTTTGAAGCTTTGCTTCTACTTGGGGAAACTTCGGGTAGACCATTGTCTTGGACCCGTACCAACAACCAGCTTCTCATCGAACTTGGCGCAGTCGAGATTGCCATTAGCTGGAGCCGACGATTTGCCAAGGCGATGAGTGTGGAGTGCATTGTGGGGGAAACGTGGGTCGGGGTAAAGCCCCCGAAGCTAAGCTCTCATTTCCCGCCGAATACTGGTCCGGCAGATTGGTGATTGGGTGCGCGCACACGCTACGAATGCTCATGACATATAACGAACGGTTCGACACACCCTTTCGAGCTGGTAGCTCAGCTGTCATGTGAGCAAACAAAAAACTGCGCACCCTTGGTCTGACGCGCAACTCCACATTCCGCCCTTCGTAAATGACTCGACATTCACGATTACGGAGCATTCGAAAAACATCCGATCCGGGGG